CGCCGGCGGCACCACCCGCGCCCGCGCGAGCGCGGCAAGGACCTGCACGAGCTCGCCAGGGTCCGCGTACGCGTTGATGTGAAACCGCACAAACCCGCCCAGGGCTTCGAAGAAGGCCAAGTCCCGCTTCCGCCGCCCGGACGGGGCGTGGCTGAGCACGACGAGGCAGGCCACGACCTTCCCCGCGCTCATCTCGGCGGCCGCGCGCGATAAAATCGGATCCGCGGCGACCGCCGCCGCCTCGCGCGCGTACAACAGCGGCCTCGCCGGGGCCTCGTCGATTTCGCCGGCCCCCAAAGGGCAGGCGGAGGCCGCGGCTTCGCGGAGCTGCGCGGACGCCGCCGAGGCGATCGCGGCGATGCGATCGCGGATCCGATCGTGCAGCGCGATCCCGTAGCGGAGGAGGGTGGAGCGGGGGAGGGGCAGCGACGCGATCGCGAGCAACGCCTCGACGTCGAACTCGTTTAACCGGTCCAACACGACGGGAAAGAGAAGGTGCTCCTCCGCGGCGGAAACCAGCGAGGCGTGGGTGGCCGCGCGGAGGTAATGCCCGACGACCTCCACGAGCGAGGCGGGGGGCATCCGACGCAGGGGCGTCTCCTCCGGCGTGGGGGGATCGCGAATCGCCTGCGGGAGGGGGGTTGGCCATCCGCCGGGGGGCTCCACTCGTGCGAAAGCGCAACCTCCGGCGCGAACCCCACCCGCGTCGTCGAGAACGACCGCAGCGCGGCCAGACGAACCCCCCATGGGGTCGCTCGGAGCGCCGGTCGGAGGGAAAATCGCATGTCGGTCAAGAAAACAATGATACGAAGGATCCGAATAAGGCGAATCTAAAAGGAAAAGCACGGAAGGCTAGATCGGGAACTTCCTAATGATTTCTGCTACTCGATAGACGCAGAAAAGGCGTTTCTTTTATTTTCCTTACGGAGAAAAAGAAGGGAGGATTGCAAACGCGTGAGAAAATGCTCGACAGGGAACTGCTTTAGCTATGTTGAAGACATCCATCGACGTAGTCAAGCGGTTGGACGGTGTAGAAGTGAAGTTCAGCACCCACCACTGCACGCTATCGATTTTTTTTCTTCATCATTTATCCAATGAACAATGCAACTAATAATAATAATAATAACATTGCAGCATCCATTCATCAAACAGCCCACCACATACCTATGTATGTGGAGCAGGGCGAACAAAAAATATGGCTTAGCTAGCATCCGAGAGAACCCTCACAAAAAAGGTAATTTCCTCTCGTAATATCGCCAACATTAAGGCTAAAATTGAACGAGCGTAGCGTGCGCAAGCTTTCAACCCTCGTGAAATCACGCGTGAATACACGATTCATCAAGATGGGGTAAAAGGTCTTCTGCAATCGTGTTCGCTTTCAAACATTCAATCGTTTAGATAGATAGTTTAAGAAGGTTAACGCAAGCTCGTTAAGTTTATAAAAAAAAACCTCCCAAAAAGGGTGGTGAAAACACGGTAGGCCTCCCCCCCCCCCTGCCGCCTCCTCTCCGCGTACGAGACTCATAAACAACAAGAAAAAAAAACAAAGACTGAACGTTCCATTTAAAGCAAAGAACGCGTGCAAAATTATTTGAATTTGAGTGAAGGCAAAGGAAAAAACATGCAGCCTTGCAACACCGATAGCTCGTCATGAAAGATCACATCCACCGCACGTTGCGTATTAGCATAAGCCTAGCTGCCACTCCCTGCGTTCAAGAAGAACGCTAAAGCCAACAGCCTCAACGAGAATAAGCGACGGAAACTATCATCATTATTTTTTTCCGATTATTATGATGATTACCAATGGTATTGATCTCCTTTCCAAGGCAACCTGTGAGAAGCCCCCTCCCCCCTGGAGGGGCAGCGAGATTCACGACCCCTCCGGCAGCCATCTCCGTGAAACACCTTAACCCCACGATCTAATTCGACAAGTTTAAGAGCAGATTCACCACCAATACTTCGTCCTCCATGTGAAACCCATTCTCATTCTGAATATAGGCGCACAAAAAAATATGTGTGATCTATAAAAGACAATGCTTGGAATGGATATATATACACATATTTAAAAAAAAACGATTTGATACATTCATGTGTGCTTTATTTTCTCATTGCAAAAACAGTGGCTCCAATACAGCCATACTCAGTGAGTTCAGGTGAAGTAAAACATGACAAAGTATAGGCAATTAATATAAATCTCAATAAATAGATATGCATATCTAGATAGACATATAGATAGATAGATAAACTAAAGCGTAACTCTCAAAATTAAAAGCAAAGTGACTAGATATGTGATTCTAGATGGACAGTTCTATTATTCTCGATATCAGAGAAAGAAACAAAAAAATGAAATATCGGATCTATAAGAAAAACTCTTTGGCAGCTGTATAAAGTTGCAAACTAAAACGGAATGCTCCCTCCTCTGTTGAAACGCTTAAACCTTAAGGATTGATAGTTTCTTTCCATCAATTTCTATTCCCTCTATAGTGGTGATGTTGCACCAAACGATCCAAAGGAGGAATTGGATCCGCTATCTCGGCTATATCGGAAAAAAAGAAGGGAAGGGGAGGGGGGGGTTATTTCGCACCGTTCTTACTTTCCGCCAGTGTAGCCTTTACGAGGTCTCTTCTTAATCAAAAACAATACGTCGTGTGGGGGTTTGATACGTTGACAAGATGCCCGCCCACGCTTCCTCTTGATTCCTCTCGAGGTGGGGGCTGCGGTGTGATTTTGGCCGCGGCTTTCGCGGTGTCGTCGGCCGCAGCCTCGACGATTCCTCCGTCGCAACGCCACGGAAGATATTAGCCAACGGGGTATGCACCCCCAACAACGAAGAAGAAAAAGAAGAAGAAGAAGAAGAAGAGGGGGAAGAAGTATTCGATGCGGGTACGAATTCAGGAATCCTCGCAGGGATCTCGACCTCTCCGGGTGATCGGCGAAAACTGTCAATGTGCCTTGGCAAGGCCTCATGCGAAGCAGCCCTCCCCCCTTCCCGCAACCCCCCTGAAAGGGATAAATCGGAAGAGGAGAACGAAGATCCGTAAAGCGGTCGAGAAACACCGGAGTAATGCTCCCCCGAAGCGCTACGAATCCACGCTGGAGGAAACACGGGATCCCCTTCTTTGGCTTCTCCACCTTTTCGCGGTGATCGCGACGTACAACTTTCCACCATAGCAAGGGGGGTTTGAAGCGGCGCCGGGGTACAACACGCCACGCCACTCCCACCTTTCTCTTCCGCTTTTTCAATTGTGCGATCCCCCCCGATGGCGTCCTCAAATCCCTGAATGAGATTTGTTCCGGGAGGAAAGCGAAATCCCATTTGCGAGCCTTCTCCGCTATTGATGGTATCTTTTTGAGCTTCAGCGGATTCATTTCTCACTCTACACGCCTCCTCCGTGGTGGTAAAACCAACCCCTACCGAGGGGTGCGTAATAGAGGTCTCTCCCCCGATTAAAGAGGTGTTAAAATGCGTCGTGCACGGCGTGAGCTGGCAACAAGAGGTTGAGGTTTCGTAATCGACGAGGAGCTCCGCGTTCGTTGCGGCTATTTTGCCGATAAGCACCCTGCCATCCCCACCACGAACCCCTTTGGAAGAAGAAAATGGTTTATGGATGCTATCAAAGGTCGATCGCGTTGTCTCCATGGCGAATTTTGTCGTAGAGGCGGTGGAGGGAATCGCCTGAGTGTCGTCGCTAACCATTTGGGTATTCTTTTCAGCCGTGGCGAATGGTGTCGTATCGCATTTTGAAGGCAAACACGCAAAAAGAATTCGAGGTTCCGTGAGGGGTTGATGAAATGGTGGCTGAGATTCCATACCAAGATCACCCTCTGGAAGACTCTCTGAGGAGGGGTCGGAAAGGCCGCGTTCATACTTGTTTTCTCGCGGGGTGCAGAATGGACTGAAAGTTAAGCAATCGGGTCGTTCCCAGGAAGAAAAAGAGGGCACCTCCATCCTGAGTGAAGGTAGGGCACCTCGGAAAAGAGGAATAATCTTTTCCTTTTTCAAAAGTTGCACGGATATGCAGATAAATTAAGGGGGAGACTCGAGTAATAAAACAAAAAAGAAAAAGCGAAAAGAGTTTTAAAGAAAGTATAATGTTTTAAGGGAAACTTGCTTCCCCTCGTTTACCTTTGAAAAGATAAAAAAGTGTAAATGCGCAAACTCAGTCGTGCTTGAGCTCTTAAAGAGAGGTATTAAACAAGAAAGAACACGAGAGAAAAGTAAAAGGGTGTTAGCCAACACTTCCTAAAATTCCACAGAGTTCAACAAGAACAAAAAAAAAACGCTGTCTCTTGTTTTGAATTACTATACTAAACAGAGATTAACGGCAAAGGAAATACAGTAGAATACAAGTGAATTATGTTCCCCAGTCCCACGGACCACTAATTTTGATAAGGAAACAAAACATAGGAGAGTCCCCCTACAAAATAAAACCTAGGGGAAGGAAGAAGGGAGGAGATAGTTCTAAATACTCAATCAATAATACATCTCAGAAGGTATCCCCTCCCCCCCCCCCCCCCGCCAAGACTATGATGAAACCCCCGAAAAAAAGTAGGGTTTTCTCGTCTGTTCTCTATGGATACCCCTGTTTTAACGAGCACTCAGGAATGCGCCCGTTGATGATTTCTACCTAAGGATGAGGAAATTAAAAATAGGTAGCTATGTGTATGCAAACATCTTGTTTATAACCGTCATAGATTTTCTCCTCGAGGTTCTTCGCTGACCTCCCTTTTCTTCCTCTTTCTACCTTGCTGCCGTGCCGATTGCTACGGCTCTATCGCATGGATATGCCTTTCTGCCGCTTCGTATCCGATGCCGTTGTCTAAGAGGGGCTCGTGATGGAATGTACAAGCACTCCATTCATACGCGCTTCCTATTCCCACTTTTTTCCTCCCTATGATTGCGGTTGGTAGGGGTAATACCTCACGAAGGGTGGCGTGGGATCAAACTACGATAACAACCCAAAGCAGACGTTCACGATACGACGCCACGCCTGCCTCTCCGCGGACATCTTTTCCTCGTGCGCCTCCTCATGCTTCAGCGAACTAAGCACGATGATCGAAAACGTGGCGAAGTCGATCGTGGAGATTCTACTGGAGATCAGCAGCGGCACCACCACCTTCGCTGCGAGAAAAATCAGCAGCAATCGACGCCCCCGTTGGTTGAGCACCCCCTTCTCGAGGACGCGCTCGTCGTTGTCGTCGAGGAGGGCGGCATCCCCACCCGCCCGCCTCCCCCTCACGGGTGAGGGAAGCGTCCCCTGGATCGCCTTCAACCCTCGCGCGAGATTCCCAAACGCTTCGTGGTAAATCTGCTGCTCCTGCACGATGGTGGTGATGAGCGATTCGCGTGGAATCATTCGCCCTCGCGTCGTGGGATCACCACCCCCTTCCCCGAGCCCACGTAACTCCTCCTCCAGGAGATATCGATAGGTCGTCAAATCCCCCCCGCAAAGCGCCCCTCGCCGATGCCAATCGAGCAGATCAAAAACCTCCCGAAGGACTTTCGTCCGGCGAATCCGCGGCCGCGCCGCGCCCCCGCCTGTGCGCGCCCCGCGTTCATCCGGTACCCCCCTCCCGCGAGCAGTCTCTCGAGGCGGATCGAGGGGTTTGAAAGCCTCCTCGTCTTCCCCCTCCTCTCGCGCGCGCGCGGCGGCGTAGAATCGACGCACCTCCCCTTTCGTCAGGCGGACGCCCGTACGATAAAACCACATATGGGACCGCGAAGGCGGGAAGACGACGCCGAGCAGCCGCGCGGTCTCGCGAAGGGCCCCCATCCCCACCCCTTCGCCGTCTTCGTCGTTTTCATTCGCATCGTCGCCCGCTGCGCCTCTGCGCTCGACGGGGGA